CTACGTGCATTCAAAGACAGGCAGAACTCAGCTGTGCTGATAGGAGTCAGAGTGTGGTTACCTTTTGTGGGGGGCAGGGGTGCTGCGTGAGGGACTTCTAGGGAGTTGGTAATACTCCATTTCAGTATCTGGATGGTGGATGCATGATAGGTTCATTTTGAAAGTCATTAAGCTATATACCCTTACAATCCGTACCCTTTTCTGTTTAGTATATTAAAAAGATAAAAAGTTAAAATTGTAAGCATGTTAATTCATAGAGAAGTGTCTGAAATTTAATGTTAATTGAAATCAGCAGGACAAAACTATATTAACACTGTAATAGTGAAATTTTTTTTGTACATGTATACATGGAGCCTTGGGGAAAGGACATAGTAATTTAAGTAGTTGGTATTTCGGTTTGTTATTTTATGTAGATTAGCATCTTATAAAGGGGGAAAAAGCCACATGGGTGTGTCAGTTATGTTGCTATACTAAAAATTGTCCTGTCCTAGATCGTCCCCTCCGAAGTGGGATAAACGGGATGATCAGCTAAGGCTGGTAGGTTTTGTGTTGTTTGAGATTGACCATAAGGTAAATAGTATCATGACTGGTCCCTTTACTTTCAGATGTGTTATTTATGAAGACGTGAATGTGTTCTTATTTCTCTTCTTTACCAATTTCTCCTTGTTTCTTAGGTTTTTGTGGAGACCCTGGATAAGTGTTTCGAAAATGTTTGTGAATTGGATTTGATCTTCCATATGGATAAGGTACCTTCTCTCTCAAACCAGGATTACTAGAAAACTAAGATCCCTGGACATCTCTAGCTACCTCTACACCTTCCTGGTTTTTCTTTTGGATTTTTACCCTGGGGATAGTCCTAGAACCTCTCTCATGTAATAACTTAAGTGTGATAGTATTTAGGGTACTTTGCTAGAATCTATTACCAGTTTAAACACACAGAAGATTATTATTGGGCTTATATTATGGTTCATTTTTCCTGGTATGGGGTAATGATATCACTAGAATGACTGGCTATCAGGCCAAAAGTGAGATAAATAATTTTATGTTGATTATAAAATGAGTTTCTTAAGCAATAGTCCAGTGAGAGTGAAGGTGTGGAATCATCATGACATAGGCCTTGACTTAGCTAGTAAAACTGTTTTCCTAAAGAGTAATGACTAAGACATTAGTAACAGTTTGGAGTCATGTGCTGCTATGTAGGAAAGCAGACTGTCAGGCGAAATGCCAGTGGTTCAGAGTACACGTTCTCTGATTTCTGTCGCTAGCATAATTGGCATGGCCCATGTCCTCACGGGGCAAATCAAACGTGGCGGATAGACGGGGTTAGAAGCTGCTGCGTTTATTTTATCCAGCTGGGCACATGCTGTACCCAGTGCTGTTCACTGACGGAGATTGGGACATCTTAGGTTTGCTTATTGGTCCTGAGTTTTTCTTCAACCAATTGTTGCCATTATGATCCATGGCCTTGAAGGGAGATACTGATTTTTAGGAGACTACTACTCATTGCTAAGCCATGATTCTTTATTAATCTGTTTTCATCATGATGAGGAAGGTATTTTTAGATCCATCAATGTTAGCATTGCCATCGAGAAGACTTTCTTGTCATTTTCCAATAGAATCTTCAGTTCCAGTTAACTCTCCCAGGGTTCTCAGATGATACTTTCCCAACTAACACAGTGAGAGCATTCTTAGGGTTGGATTTTGGAATGGACTGACGTTTCTCTCAACATCTGGCTTGGCTCTGTGGCTCCATGAGGAGCAGCCTGGTGCAAGAGAATCACAGCACGCTGTTCCTCTGTAGATACAGCAGGTCCTTGACTAATGTCCTTTTGTTCAGAGTTACGTCATAATAACGTTGTTGAGAGGCTGTAGGAACTTAGCTTTTGTTTTTATCAATTAGCCTGTGATAAAGTTAGTGGTGTCGTAGAGCATATCTCTTCAAGTTGCAGAAGCAATTGTTGGCGCTAAGTGAGGAGTTAACTCTACTTGACTTGGGGCGCCCTGGTGTTTTTGAGGTGGCCACTCTCCCTTTTCATTTGAAAGGTCCTCAGAAACTTCAGAGACCTCTTAGCCCCCTCTTTGCAAGCACTTAGAGTTGTTTTAGGCTGGTCAGTCGTCTAAGGTTGCTACTATCTTGTAATTTCTGTCAGGGAGAGCCACAGTTCAATTCCAATTCCTTTCTGTACTAGTAGGAGAAAAAGGTTAAGATTAAAGAGACTAATTAACTTCAGTAACTTTAATTAAAGATTAAAAGTTAAGATAAAGAGAATATGGAGGGAATGGAGGAATGCCTTCTATAGGCCTCACTGTTATTATTTTAAAGCAATTTTTTAAAATTGTGAAATACAAGGTGTTACCTTTGGGGTTACCACCCGCTTTCAAAATGGATTCCTTTGCAGACGCCACCTGTAGCTTACCAGGACAAAGATGAAGCCACATCTCAAAGCCTAGATTCAGGGATAGCTTTTACCAGGGAAAGGGAAAATTCCCAAGCAAGAGAAAAGGCACGGGTCCCACATCCTCCCATCATCCCCATGGAGGGAGGGGTCTCTCGGGGCCAGTCTCTGCTGGACTGACTTCCCCTCCCTTCCTCCCTCCCCTAGTGCTCACCAGTGACACAAGACTATCTGTATTTGGGTGCCAGCTGTTTATGGAAGTTGTCTGGGAATGCCAGCTGCCCCAAACCTGAAAACTCTGGGGCTTGTGGGATGGTACAGCTAGTTGAGCTTTGGTCCTTTGCATTTTAGTATACGGTTCAGAGGCAGCTTGTAAATTACACACGTGTGCTCGCACGCCCTCAGGATTTTGAATGGAATGCATTGAATCTGTAGAACATTTGAGGAAAATTATATCTTACAGTATCAAGTTTTATCCACATTATGGTACATTCACTCTTTAGATCTTCTTTAGATTTCTCAATGAACTTTTATAATTTTTCCCTTAGAGATTTTACATATCTTTTATTAAACTTATTCCTAGGTACGTGGTTTTTTATGTATATGATGTTTTAAATATTCATTTTTGTGTGTATTGTTACTATTGAAAAATCACGTAATTTCTGTACGTTGATGTCTTTTTCTTGCTCTATACTGCTGGCTAGGAACTCCAGTGTGCCATCAACACAAGTGACAGTGGGCATCTCATTTTGTTCCTGATTTCAAAGGGAAGCTTTCATCCTGTCACCATGAAGCATCGTATTTGCTGTATATATAGTATTTCACATGTGGTAGGTTTTTAGTAAATATTCTTTATCAGGTGGAAATTTCTTCCCTTCTCTTCCTAGTGGCTAAGAGTGCTTAGTCATGAAAAGGTGTTCAAATATATCAGAAGCTTTTCTCCATCTCCCGAGGTGTCATGACTGTTGCCTTATCATTCTAATATTGTTTTTTTTTAAATATTTGTGAGAATATCTACTAGGGCAGTAAAGTAATTTCAGTCCCAACTATTTTATTGGGCTTGGCTTTAAAAGGAAATAAAAGGCCATAAAAATGTTCTTCCTCATATGTCTTATCTTCAAATAAGTTTCATGTAGTATTTTGCTGCTGCTGCAAATTTCTATTACAGTTTATAGAGCTGTAATTTTTGGTTGTTTATGTGACCTCAGGAAATTATTCTCTATATCTCTCAGGGTTTCGAAAAGTGATAATGCAAGGAGTCAGACTCTCCCTTTACTCACCTTTAGAATGCCTGAAGCTGTTTTCCAGCAGGGGACTTTCTTTTAGTGGAATTTCAAGCTTATCTTTGCCCTCATGAAGAGTTATTGCTCACACAGACATGTCTTCTGTGGAGAGTAGAAAATGTCCTTACTCAGCTAGGCAAAAGAGCTGTTGTAAGACAATAGGAATATCACCTTGAACTCCATCTTTCTTAATTGAAGAATGTTTCCACTTTGACTCAGGAACTCTCATCAGTCCCTAGACCTGTACAGTCCACACTAGGTTGTCATGGATAGCTGCCCCATTGCCCTGAGCAGATGCGGCTGGAGCAGCAGGCCTGTGGAGGGACCAGAGGTGGCATTACCTGCCACCCTGGCAGTTTGTTTCTAATCTTGGGCCTTCTTTCTCAGCTCCTAGGCGGTTTTTGTTGCTCTCCTCTTCCATCACTGCTGCTGTCTTCACCTCCTCTCTTCCCTTCCTGTCTTAAAGGAAGTTTTGTTCATTCCAGCTCTGGAGCTTAATCCTATTCCTTCGTCTTGTCAACATACACCGTAATCTCCCTTCTTCACCTCGTCTCCGAGTCGTCTTTATTGACTCCTCCTTTTGAAACTACGAATCTCCCCAGAACGCCCCAGTCTTTCCCAGCATACAGCTCCTGCCATGTTCCTACTGCCTCTTTCTCCTGCAGCTCCATCCCCGTTGTTCATTTAAGGTAAGCTTCTTAAATGAGTGGGTGGTTTATACCCTCTCTTGCATTTCTCCGTCATCTGTTCCCTTTCTGGGGCCCAATAGCCTGGCTTTCACTCCTACCCGAAATCCACAGATGCTTCCTGATCTCATTTGCCGTCATCACCTTTTTTAAGGTTTCCACAATATTCGATGCTATTGATCACTCACTCCATGAAGCACTGCCTTCGTAATCCTTTTGCCACCTTGGTTTCTGTCACATAGACCCCTCCGAATTTTTCTCTTACTGTCTTCCCACCTTCTACCGGCAAATTACACTGTCGTCTCTCACCTTGCTGTTGTCCCTCTCCTGTTTCTATCCTAGATCTCATTCGTTTCTCGTAACTGATATCCATTTGGGTAGTTTCCACATTGGTCATTTCTAGTCCTGATGTGTGGCCTGAGTCTTGTTCCTATTTTTCCAACTGCCTGAAGACATTTCTTCCTCATTTCATTCTCACATCTTGTTTCTTCCTGCCACTTCTCATCTAGAGCCAGATTGAGCATGTGTCTCCCGAAAACTGTGTCTTCCCCAGCTTTTCTTTTCCAGGGGTAGTACCACCATTCTCAGTCGTGGACACTCAAAATCTTTTCTCCCTCTTCCTTGTCCCCCACAGCCACTAAAACCTGTGCTTCTTCCCATAGAGTCCTTCCTGTATCTTGTTTGTAGGTTCACCAACTGTTCACATTTGGCACATTTGCTTTTATCTCAGTCTCTCTCTCTATTTTTTTCCTGAACCATTCGAGAGTCAGGTGCAGACACAACTTTCCATCCCCAAATTCTTCAACAGACATCTCCTAAGAACAAGGACATTGTCTGATGATAAGTTGTGCTTAATTCTCTAACATACTTAATTACAACATACTTAATTATAAATAATTAACCATAACATAATTAACATATTTAGGAAATTTAATGTTAATAATTGCTGTTATTCAATTTAGATCCATATTTAACTTTGTCCATCCGTCCTAGCGATGTCCTTTGTATGTACATGTTTTAAGACTAGATCCAGTTTGGGGGCAAGCACTGTCTTTGGTTATGGTGTCTCTCAGTTTCAGTTGTGTCTATCAGGTGTTGTAACCTCATTTTCTCATCATTCTTGTTGAAACTGCCCACTGGAATTGGATTCATTTTCCTAAGGTACCCTTTAGACTAGCCGCTCTCTTGGTCACAGACCTGTTTTGGTCCGCCCTTATCAAGCCACGACCCCTGGCCATGCATTCAAAGCTGTCTACAATTTGTGCCTGTTCTATCTTGGCTTTACTTCTAGCCAGATATTTTCTGCTCCAGCCAGAGTGGACCAGTCTTAGTCACTTTGGAGTTCCTATCTCAGAACCTCTGCCTGAATTGTCTTTTCACA